TGCGTAATGGAAATCTCACACCAGAATGCTTGTTGCATGTAAACCCTGGACATTTATATTAGGAAGTTAGGTTAGTAACAGAAAATCTGAAGCACTTAAGCAAGAAATTCCAGGTGTGGCCAGAAATAATTTGATCCTTATCTGCTGCTTGGTGAATAAATTTAAATCTGCAAAGTACACACAACATACACATTCAAGTGTATGAACAGTGTTGCAGATATCACAAATGGCTGTCTATATAGAAGCATTGATAAAAAGTATATCATGGGCCTTCAGCATAGTCTTAGTCATGGTTCCTTAGTGTCTAATCAGATATTTCAAGGTTAGAATCCAAATCATTGCTTTGTTTAAATAAAATAGTCTGTAATTAGCTCTCAAGTGCTGTACCAGAGATGTTCAGTAGGTTCGCAGCCATCTGCAAATTTGCTTAGCTAATGTGGCTGCTATTAGTTTCTGCTCTGACATTTTGAGAAACTAATAGTCACATTTGGCCAGTGTTGCTGCTTAGCCTTACCGCACACTGGACTGACTTGAATTTTAATATCAAATGTCCTGTATTGCATGCTAAACAGCTCTCACACACAGGCCCACATAGATCACATGTCACCGATGAAAGGCAGAACAGCTGGGAAATGTAAAAAATAAAGTGAACAATTTAGAATAAAATTGTGATTCTGCTTTATGTTATTGCAGAGTTACTGAATTATCTGGCAAACAAGAAGATCTTAATCAGAGTGCTTACACTAACCTGACTGTGCAGTGGGTTGTGTTAGGTAAATATGAAAAGTATAATCCATAATATCTGTACTCTTAAAAGAATACATGAGGCTTTTCTGATACTGTGTAATAACAGAACAGATTTTAGTGCATCAGTGCTGATTGTGGCTAAACTAAACTGACTAAACTGCATTAGGCAGAGCTTGTAGAACAGAAGCTGACATTAATTAATGGATGACATGGAACAGAATCAGTCATCTTGAGTGTATTTTTGGAGCACTTTGGTCAGGTTACCTTGCTCGAGTGATACAGTATACTGAAGAAACATTTACTTAGTATTCCATTTAGAGATGAATAAGGACAATCTATGCTGTCTGGCAACCTTTTGAAAATATGAAAACAGATCAACTCGACCTGTGATGTCGGTGTTGTTTTTTCCTTGCTGTGATGCACATTACATCTCGTATCAGTCTGACTACACTGTTCTTGTGTGTGGAATGGGAATTAGCTAACATCTTACTAATCTGTTTGTGGTCCAATAAAAGGACCCTGATTTAAATAAAAAGAATCATGGATTTATGTGGTCTGTGACAAAATTGAACCTAAAGGATTGAAACTTTTAGAAGTTAATTAATAATTAATGCATATGTGAACTTGTAATGTTGTCAAGCAGAATTCATGCTTGAATTTGTGGTTAAAAAACATCTACATTAGGTTTGGAGAAAATATGCACAGAGAATTTCAGTGTGATATTCACAGAATATCTGAATGTTTTGTGTGAAAGCAGTAACTGAGTGTGCCAACATACCAACTGAGTATGTGAGCGTGGAGTTGCAGGGTGTGTGTAAACTGCAGATGGTGACTGGCAACTGTTAAACAACTTTAGCTAAATGAACACTCCTTCTAGCTGAAAACATTCATTGCAAGATTAGGGTGTTTTGTTTTTCTGTTACTAATATTTCTGCAGTAAGAGCTGCTTGTTAAACATATTAAATATCCAACAGGAAATGAATCACTAAGGTAAAAACAGCTCCATTGTGACACTTGTGTCTGATTAAGTTTGGTGTATTAACGCTAACCATCGCAATAAACATGAGCAACTCAGATTCACCCAGTCGCTGTGATCTGCCCTGAAATACTGATGTACCGACAACAGCTGGCCACTTTCCTAGAAAATATCACCCAGCTGCACCTTTACTGGAGAACCCAATAAAACTACCTGTCCATCTGGAGAAGCTAATCAAATGCCAAGATAATGCAAATGATAACAGAGGGTCAATACTCAAACCCAGAGTCCTTTCACAGATTTAATGAGTTTTGTGTTGCTTCACCATTTTGCCTGAGCAGTTCCATCAGTATAAACAAAGCTGGACTCATAGTGGTGTTTCTCTGTCTACACTCAAGAACATTACATCTAGCTGGACTTTGACTTGATATTCACTTTCTCATACATATATAGGTCATTTGATCAAACCTTTCCCTTGCAATTAATAATACATGTATTGTTATTTCACCAATTGAAAACATTGATGTTTCAGTTTTTGACAATTGCAAGCAATTTCTTTCATACTTCATTTTCTGTTTCTTCACTCACTCACACAGCTATTAGCTGGTAAGTACTTTGTGACAGAACTGTTTTAAAAAGCACTTTAGAGTAGTGTCGAACTTGAGAATTAAATCTGACCTGACTACCTTTTGTGACTATAAAATTAATTACACCTGTAGTTGAAAAAAATTGTACTCCTCTCTGCCTCTCTCTTGTCCAAGACAAGACTGCGATTTCCGTGGGAAGAAGACAGGGCTGCTAGCATGATGTGAATAAGCTGGTTTTGCCCGTACTGATTGATCTTGGTACTGCTGATGAGTTCATTCTTTGTTACTGCTAACCTATCATCCTGGTATTCTATACTAATTACAGAAGGCAGGCAATAAGAACCTCCCTGGAAATAATTCTGAAATAAATTGATCACAGGTTCAAACACAGCCCTGGAGGTGACTTATGTTGCACTCACTGCCAATTAAATCCTCACCTGTTAAAAAAAAAAGGGAGCCTGAAAATCACCTCTTTGATTTGTATGATTTCAAAGTGACATGAGACAGCTAACAGATCTCCAAAGAGACTAAAGCATCTGTGATCAAAACTGCAGGTGCATCAGTACAAAAAAAAAAAAAAAACACACAAATGCATTTGTCAACAGAAATCCATGCATGGTAAAACAGCAGCTGTAACACAGGGACATGATGGGCTGCTTTAGAAAATGCAGTTTAACTGGTAATCTTTGTTTTGCAACAGTCACATTCTTCATTTTTTATGGGTAACACTTTAACTCCCTCATGTAGTATGTACAAGCAGTACACAAACATCTAATAGGTGATTTATACCACACTCTAATGTAGTTGTAAGCAGCCATAAGGACACCTTTAAGTTTCTATTCATTTACGATGTTTATTGCAGATTCACATATCACTTCTCACATAAAAATGTTGTATTTTTACAACTATACTACTATAATTATACTGAACTTTATATATTACATTGTGCTTTACTATATTGTTTTTCATTATCTGTTTATACAGCAGCCCCCACTTATTGGTGCCGTTGAAATATGCTTATGGCTGCTTGCAACAAAAGGGGGCACACATTTAAAGCTACTCTACCTAGTTTCTTTTCAGCCAAGAGGGTCTAGTGAGACTCAAAACAGACAACAAGCTGCTCCTAACCATTGTTTGCGACAGCGTAAACTACAGGTACCTGGTTGCGACAAACTGTACAAAATCAGCCTCCACTCCAAAGCTAGCGTTAGCTGACTAACAAAGCTCGAATTACTCCGAAAATGAAAAATCTATTATTTCAATCCAAAAATAACAAAGCAGCACAAATGCAGACTAATGGTAGTGAAAATGACATTTCAAGACTCCCTTCTGATGCAAATGACTTGGCCGGTCATTTATTTTTAGGAGCAGAGGTGAGGGTTTCAGTGTTTGAGGACTGCGGGCAACATGAGCTAACTCCCACATTAGCCCGAGGCTCACAGAGACAGCCAATCCAGGGAAGATAGTCAGCTTCTATTTGCTCACTTAAATCATTTCTGAATAAAGGTGGCATTCTCATAGGAAAACTAGAGTAGGCCCACTGTGCAGTCAGTCAAAGATTTGGGTCAGACTCTGACAGTGTAGAAAAGTCAGTTTTTCTCCCTTCGCCTTTCATAATGTAATAGTACAGCTACGTCTGCTGACATCCCTTTGAACTCCTGTCCTGTGGGGTTACTCGCTCCAGAAAGGGTCTGCAATATCCAACTCCTAGCACCATTTTGGCCCATGGTAGAACATCAAAAGCTTCAAAGCAAAGACTTATGACCTGCCAAGCATGATCCTCTGATGCATGACAGGCTGACTGGAGAAGGGTCATACTATGAGAATGACATCTAAATGTGAGGTCTGGCAGAGGTGTGGGACTCGACTGCAAAGCTGCTGTGTGCGGTGTTTGGGGACCCTAATTACCCACAGGAAAGAACAATACAATAACAACTGGTCCTGAACCCCAAAGACAGATTCTGACATTTCTGAGAAGGTCAGAGTTAATTACTGTGAGAGACTATTCATGGGGAGGGAACAAGAGGAGATTGTTTGGTCAAAAAAGTGCTTTCAAATTTAAATAAGATGGCTACATGTGTCACAACCCTGATGTTACAAACCTATACATGTATAGACTGGTGACAGCTAGTGCCAAATAAGGCCTTAATCAGGGAATATTCATGCCACAAATATCACTGATGTAGAGACTAACAGAGTTTGGAGCTGGGATAATCAATTGTCATTTGTCAACTAAAACATTTGCTAGTCTGAGCCCATCAAGTTTGAGTATTTTTTATTTATATCCTCTTACCATTCAATATCTCTGATTTTGGGCTTTTTATAAAGACAACCAACCATTTTGAAGACGCTACCTTAGGCAAAAGGTACATTTTGGATAATTTTATGGTTATTTTCGCTATTTGGTGAAATCTATTAATAATTAATCTAAAAAAACTGCAATAGATTCATCAACAATGAACATTATGGCTGCTACAAATTATTAGTTTATAACTGATTGTGTTGATTACTTTCACAATTTTAAAAATTTGTGAAAAAATGTTCCTCACATATGCCACAGCCCAAGGTTACATTTTCTAATGGCTTTTTTCTCATTAACAGGACAAAACCAAAATTGTTCAAATGCCCTATCATTGCATCACAGGATATAAACAATTAAGAACTGACAGGATCAATTATAGCATACATACAAGTCTTGCGTGCAGAGTCCTCCACAAATAGCGAAGAGATGTCTTCGTCCACGCCTGCCTCGTTTTTGGCAATGCAGGTATAGGCGCCAGTGTCCTCAAAATGCACGTTGCTGATGTGTACCTCGCTCCCATTAGCTTTGGGGAACAACAGAGGGAACAACAGAGGGAACACATAAAAACACAGTTTGCCTTCCAGAATGGGACACAAGGTGATTTTTGTGCTTCTTTTGCTATGTTACTCTGTTAAATAACAGTTCTCTAATAAGTGGGGAAGAAGGGTGAGAGGTTTGTTTCAGGGAGAATTCAAAATGCTAAGAGGTCAAAGTATGAATGTGGCACAGGTCTGCCACATGCCGTGTTTCTGATTTGGTGTGCGACCATAAAGAAAAAGCTTCTGAATACTTGATACTGAGGCTAGACAATAAACCTAACTTATCAGGTTACAGACATTATGAATCTCCTGATTGCGTATAAGAACTCATATTGTGATTTCTAGCCAATATCTTCAAACTGAAAACAGCGACAGCCAAGGATTTTTAACCAGAAATTCAACCAGCCCATCAGCTGGCAGACCAGCACTTTTCATTGCTCATGCTATAATTAAACAGAACAAATATACCAGAAGTGAAGCAACACGTGAAGGGAAACTGGTATTAAATTATATCTTAGTAAGACTTGATGGTACTCATGATCTTATAGTATTGATAAAAAAAAAGAATTTGTTAGTGGTGACAATAGAAATTATAATAAAAATTGTCACACAAGTGTTAATAAGAGCAGTAGTAAAAATAATGAAACAAGCAGTAGTGGCAGTGAAGGTATAGAGATGTACATGCAAGGAGCTGTAAAGTCTTGATTCTGTACCTTGCAGGGTGAGCTGTTTGGACAGCTTGGTGGTGATGTCCATGCCGTTCTTCAGCCAGGCCAGCTGGGGGCTAGGGATGCCCTCAGCATGGCAGCGCAGGCTGGCAGTGATGCCTGGCTCACGGACTTGGCTCTCTGGGTAAACTCGGATGACAGGAGGAACTGAAAATAAAAGGGGGAGGGGTGGCAGACAGGTGAAATAGAATAATTAATAAATACTGCATCACCTCACTGTTTACATTACTGAGGAGTGTGCCAACTTTATTGAACGAAAAGTTTTAGAGAAGATGCCAGCCCTAAACTTATGGCTTTGCATTAGCATACATTATCAATAAAATCAAGTGTGTTTTCAGTATTGCTGAATACCTTTAGATGTGGTTACTGAGCTCTGTGAAGCCAAGCAAATCGGATAAATAAATAAAGGAGAAACCTTCCCTTCTGACGTTATTGATTTTGCTTGGTAGCCATTGATTTTATGTAACCTTTTGTCGGGAAGCAGATGAGGAGATAGAAGCAGAAAAAACAAAATGTGCTAAGAAAGAAAGGGCACAAACTAAAAGTCCCTCTATTCTGCAAACTGTTCCAAAAGCTGACGTGACACATTTCTGCTCATTGTACCACTGTCATGCTGGCGTTTCACTTCTTTACCCTACCCTGAAGCAAAAACAAACAAAAAAAACTCTCCTACATACTGTACCTCCAAGAACCATTAATCAATAAAGCACACAAATCCATTAATAATATGCATTTACTGACTGAGAATATGCCACGTGCTTTGCTCTACACCCAGGGGCCAACTTGTTAGAGTCTTGCTCCACAAAACATTGAAAATATCAAAAGAATGAATTTGAATCAAAGGAAACGGCTTTTCCCTGAACAGCATAACAATGATAAAACCTTTCAAAAGGATGGCAATGTACAGTATCTTCCACATTGAAATGGACAGTGACAATGAACTGTTTACTGAGCAACCATAAATAAGCACCGCGATTCACTCCATAACAACCTGTCACACTTAAGGATGACAGCCTGGCAGAGGTTTAAGTAGGGACATCAAATTCCCACATCTTGCCATCTTGTTCTGAGCAATCCCTCATAGCCCGTGTGGCCCAAATCAGTGTCCTCTTTTTTTTACTCTTTTTGGAAACAGACTTCAGAGACATGAGCGTAGGGTGGAAGCAAGAGTTTTGGCAGAGGCAGAGAAGGCAGATGTACTGCAGAGACCATTTCCTGTGGGCACTGGGTTAGAGGAGGGCTCTACTCAGCCAGGTGAGCAAAAGAACTGAATGGCCATCTGGTAACTTCGATGCTCCCGGGCTTTGGAGCTCACGTCAACCTGACTGCCAACACGAGCCCTAAAGTGGGCCACCATGGGCTTGTACGGCACCCAGGTTACTATACCAATCACAGTCACAGAGCCTCTCCAATTACGCCAGTGTCCCTGAGCAGCAGTGAGACTGACTGAATAGAGCCCTTGAGTTACTCTGTACGATCTTTTGAGTGAGGAGTATTACTCACAATTAATTTCCTCACACATGTCCTTACAAGCAGACAAAGCTTTGGTCTTATTTCTTATGTGTGTGTGAAGCGCACATTCTTTTTCTAGTTGTAAAATCCTTCTGTATATCTGTTTTTATGTGGTGCATTAACTGCAAGTCACTTTATGACAGCTGTGGCAGTGGTAAAGGCACAAATATAGTTTAAATCTATAACTGCATCTCTAAATCAATCATGCCGAATGCACACACAATAAAAGCAGTGAACACAGTATTGCAATATGTAACAGAGTTTGATAAAAATTCTTCTTTGTGCATTGTCAGCTTGTTACAAAGCAGCATTAAATTCTGAAATTATGGTCTAGACAATGAAAGTGAAAGTCAAATAAAGGAAATACAAAGGATCAGAGATTAAATAATTAGTTGGGGTGATTAGTCAGTCCCCAGTAAATTAATTGAGCATTTTGAAAACAGTTATTTTTCAAGCAAAAATGCCAACACCATTTTCTGGTTCAAGCTTCTCAAATGATAAGATTTGCTGCTCTTGGTATTAATTGCCAGTTAAGTAAAGATTCTTTGGGTTCAGGGCAGTTGGTTGGACAAAACAAGCACTATTTTATAGGGAAAACATTAAACCAAAAAACTATCTGCAGATGAATCAATAATGAAAACAACTGTTAGCTGCAGTTCTAGAGCGGACTAATTTTACTGGTACTCTTATCTGCCATTACTGAAGATTTAATGAAGACTCTAAATTCAGGACAGTGGTAAATGTAGCAGAGTCCAAGCAGCTTGGTTCATCCTGTTGGGGAAACATTTTCAGAAGGTGGAAGTGTCAAAAAACAAACTTGTACTGATGCAGACACTCAGAAACCTGAATAATTTAAATCATGCACACAAGACAAAGAGCTGAATAACCTGTTTTTTTTTTCTTATGTTAAATATGATTACAACCAGAGTCATAACCAAGACGCATTACACAAGCAGCGGCATCTTGGCACACCACCTCTTCCACGCTTCACAATCAGCACTATCCCATATACTGAATGAAAAGAAGACTCCCAGTTTCAAGAAGCTTGGCATGAGAAGCGTTTTCCAACATCACAGTAATCCCAAACACTGCTAAAATTCACACAAGTGTTTTCAAAAGAAGAAAAAAGTATAAACAATTTCTTGGTCAAGTACATCCCCTGCCTTGAATCAACAACACACCTGTGGAGTGTTTTAAAGTTGAACCCTCCAGCAAAGAGTAACTGAAAACAATTCATGTGAAGAATGACAGAACATCTCTTTGTGCAACACTAATTATCATCCACGTCCAGGAGGATCAAATATGTCATCAAAAATAAAGGCAGACATAAAATATTAAAACAAACAAAGAATCTCACTGACTCAGTGGCTCTTCGTTTGCAGTTGGTGCTAAAATATGGACCTTTCAGTATAATTTAATTAGCGAAACATTTCTGCTTTTCAAATTAACTGGTTTCAATCTTCCTGGGCTTTCACAAAAATGAATACAATTATATTAAATGTGCAGGAATTTAATTACTTAACATTTTAGTGATATTGACTAGGGGTGTTTTGCTGTATATGTAAAACTTTTTAAGAGAAGTATAAATATAAATCTACTCTCATAGCTGTAATATGTGCTTATTAGTCTGAATTTTATTTTTTTGAGAACATACATTTGGGGGGGGGTGACTATAGTATCTTAATTCAAGGACTTGGCATGAATGTACTATGCATTCAGTGGTTTCTCTGTAGAGAAGAGTAGTGGTGAACAGGATGAGGGAAAACAGAAAACTGACGTGGATGTAATTTCACCAGCTGCTTCCCAGATGGTTTTATGTGGTTTAAGCTACCAGCTAATACGGATTCTGTTTGAGATGGAAAAAAGGAAATAGAAATACTTGCAGGCTGAAGTTGGTAATGTTTATAACTGAATTTTTATGTGCGTTCCTTTTACATGAACAGATGTTCTGTATATACTTTGATATTGAAAAAATATGGTATACATTCCAACATTCATGCATTGTAATCTGAAAACAGGTGCTAAAATGCAGGGCAAAGGTATGTACTTATGACTTGGGTGGTATTTTGTTGGGGCCCAATACAGTGTATAAAAACATGTTATGATCCTATTGAGAATAATACAAAATGGACAGCACCATGACACTGAGCTCATATCTCATCTCATACACGTTTTAGGGTAAATTGCCTGTGTGTTTGAGAAGATGGAACTGCTGTGTGGTTTGTACTGAAGGGCTCAGCATGTGATCCAATCAGAGCTGAAGCACCAATCCATGAGTGTGATAGCTTATAGCAGAGGTGTGGGTGCAGTGTAAAGGTGTAATTACAGAGCAGGTAAGTGTAGGTCTAATCACTGCTGCGAATGGGTTTACAGAAGTTTGCTAAGGCAGAGCAAAAGTTGCAGTTAACTCTTCTTTCATGGCTCTAATGAAATCCAACATCTATGATAAGAGGAGCCTGACTTTAATAACCCAGCCTGGTTTCCTCAAACATCCAAATGAGGCTTCAATGCAGATAATCGCTCTAATGAAATCCAACATCTATGATACGAGGAGCCTGATGTGTACCAATCAATGCAGATAATAACCCGAGTTCAATATGACAAAATTACATATTAACTATGTTGGTAAACATAAAAACATTGTTTAAACGTGAGTGTATGCACAGAATGGAGGATGTAGATGTAGCATGGTTCCAAACCTTCGAATCACCGCTAAGTTTTCAGCCATTTGAATATGCGTTTTGGTGGCTATTGGAGAACGAAGACACAGTCTCTGACATAGCTAGCAAGTTAACTAGCTAGATTCGTGAAAGATAACAAAAATTACTACAAGAATGAATGAGATGGACAACTATAAAGGTTGTTCTTATGGATGTTGAAAGACGTTTATAGAAAAGAAATGACAACTCTTAAATCTGACCATTTTTGATCTACATAGTTCTACATTCTGCTCCTAGTCACTGATAAAGCAAATCAACCTTTGTAAACTAATAATTATTAAAAGGATAAGATGAGACCTTATAGCATGTTGCACAGACACCCTAATACACCTTTTGGTGGGAAAAAAGCATTAATATTGATACACATCAATGGATAAATGTTACCTTCTCTACCATGAGATTTTTCCCTTTCATTATGTTTAACAATGTAGTTCATCACTTCTCACTTCATTTTTAAGCCTGAAAAGCTGCTTAAATGCTGTGCAACTACAGTTTGCATTGCATTACATCGTATAGATTTTTCCGTCAGGTATCCACTCTGAATATCTAGCTTACCTATTTCTACTGTGAAAATGTGACTGCTGTCTGTCAGTCACAGTCCACCGCTGTTACTCGGGGCCATAGGAGGAGTGAATGGCTGTCAGAGAAATGTAGGAGGAACCAAGGCCTATCACAGTTTCTGCAATTCCCACTTACTGCCCAAAGAGCTCAGTAAAGGTCATTCCCTAGTTAAAGGCAGAAAAGCTCAGGTCAGTGAATTCCTCCATGACTATGAATGTGGCAGAGAAAGCCACTCGGTGTTGCTGAAGATGTCTCAACCCTCTTACAGCCTAAAATATACAGTATTATTACCCACTAGAATGAAAGACTGACTTACATTAATTAGAAAACTGAATAAAACTAATGTCTGGCAGA